GCCTACGTTCTCAGATAAAATTTGAAACAAGATATTTATTTTAATTTAAACTACTTTGAATTCTAGTGGAAATTGAGGGTGGATATTATAGGAATGCGAAATAATTAAAACAGCTGTTAATAAAAATAAATCCTTGCCTTTTTTAAAGTTGTAAGGGTTATCCTAAGTTTTTAACAGTTTAGTTAAAGCTACTTTCTTGTTTTTCCTAATTTCAGCTTACAATTTCTTACCAGAATGTGTTTGTAGAATCGCGGTTACTGCAAATGAGTCAAAGTGGTATTTAAATAGAAGTTCCGCTGACTTCGTTAGAGAGCCAGAGTTTCTGACTAGCGCGCTTTCGCTTTTTGCCTACGTCTCTCTATAAGCTATTACTATGTTCGGCCGTATTTCAGGCCCCTGATAGCTTCGCCAGCTTATTTAATATTTAGAGCCAACTGTTTATAAATCTTGATAGCTTCGTCTATATCTTTTTAGTTAAGCATTAGTTAAGTTTTATTTCTTATTACTCTGAGTTCAGGCCCAAGTGGAGAATTTGCTGTACCCTCTGAAAAAGGAGCGGACTAAATTCTTATTTTGAGAAATAAAGGGTAATTAACCCTTCTGAACTAAAGCGATTATTCGCTATCCTGTTCACGAGGTTCCTACACATTTAGCTGTAAGACAAAAAAATGGAACCCCACAAAGTAAACATCTTTTTTGAAATATTCAGCAATGTAGAATTTCCTAGATACAGTAGTGAAGCTGATAATAACAAAATTAGGAAGACAAACTCAACAGGCAGATGCAGTCTATCAAGCAGTTTATACAACAGGATCGATGGAATCGATTCAAGCAAACAAGACATACACTGGTGTGAAAAAAATTAAGGACGAGACGGTTTTTTCAATATAACTTTGTACAAAAGCTTTCCAAATCAACACATTTAATACCGTAAGATCCCCAATACGTAAGGACATGAGTAATGTAAGCAACACCTACTAAAAGAGAAATCAGAGGGATAAAAAGAAGCTTTATTGAAAAAGTAGCATGGAGCGCAATGCGACTGAAGGCCGAAACATCCCTGTGATGGGTGTCCAGCAAGAAACATCCGGTCTTTAATAGGGGATATGATCTCCCCTGACTGCTAGGCAGGTTTCACAGCGTCTGCCCATGCTGAGAATGAGGGTGTCAATGAGTTGTTGAGGCATTGCTGCCCATTCGTCTTGCAGCGCCAATCGAAGCTCCGTAATCGTTACTGGTGGTAAGGTACGAGCTGCCAAGCGTCTGCGTAGAAAATCCCATACATGCTCGATGGGATTGAGATCCGGAGATCGTGCCGGCCAATCCATACGTTCAATATCCTCACTTTCTAAGGCAGCTACTGTGCGATGACATGGTGCATTGTCGTCGATGAAAAGGAACTGCGGACCCATAGCGCCTCTAAAAAGACGCACATATGGAAGAAGAATCTCGTTACAATAACGGGTTCCGCTGACTGAACTTGCGTCGAAGATGTGAAGGTCTGTACGACTACCAAGCATGATGCCTCCCCAAACGAGAACACCGCCACCTCCATACCTGTCCCTTTCAATGATGTTCGAGGGATGATTGCGTCTTCATCATCCCTCGAACTATTGGACGATAAGGCAGTTTAGAGGCAAAAATATATCCTGACAGCATTTCTCATATTATGGTACGTGGTTCTCCAGACCTATTTTTGTGGTTCTCCTAGATTTTCAAAAACGCCAAGTAATTCGTAAATGAAATTAACAGGGATTCTAATCATTTATCTGATTATTGTGACTAAGTACTCTGCCATATCTCTCAGATACATTCTCAAAACTAAATGAACTAAATTTTTTTCTACAAACGTAATTCTTTGAATGTTCTAATATCTCTCTACCAATTAAACTTGGATCGTGGGTTATAGAGGGTTCACTATCCCAAGCTTAGAATAATTTTTAGTAGAAAGTAATGTTATTATTGGTACGAATTATTGTTATTGGCTAGGCCTAAGGCCAGAAGTAATAGGCATTTTATCGTGAAGGCACCTAATAAGCGGCCGCCATTGCCTCTTATGAAAAGACATTTGCGCCATGCCTTCTCCGGGATTCGAACACTAGCTCTTCGGTGTCTTCCGTAGATGGTAAATATCATGAATTCAGTGGTTCTGGATCCTTTCCATTCGATTTAAAAATAAATTACCATTGCATGAAAGTGAATAATTAATGGAACTCTTTGATGATACCAAACTTAAAATGAAATTCTAAGCAGAAGGTATGATTAATTTCTGGACCTCATTAGCAGTGAAAACAGAATATAGTGAGCCGTACAATGATGCAGGAATAAATATTATAACTTAGTTTGATTCAATGTATCTGTGTAAGAAAAGGGTTTCGTCTCTAGCCAAAACCGATCTGAGACTTAAGCTCGCAACACACATCAAACACAGAACATCTGTGCAAGAATCGGCAGGCTCGTTCATGCCATTAATATGAATACCAACAACTTTTTAATTTTATTTAATAACATAAAAATTATCTAAATTCTATTAAACACAAATTATTAAAATGAATATAGTTTCTTTCTATTAACTTAATTGATTAATAGCAATATTAAATTAAATTAATTTCACTTCATTGTATTTTTAACATATGAGTATACTCATAAGTAACATATGCTAAAAAATTGTTTTTGAACAGGACAACTTTTGAGTGAAATCTTCTCTGCTCCATATAATAGTGAAAAGTGTCTTTTTTGATATTTTTTTAAAAAAGTGAATGATCACATATCTTTAACAAAGCTATAGAGTATATGGTATTAAATTTCTTGGCGGCCGTTTCAGTGGAGTGTCAGTCGCACAGGCTTAGGAACTAAAGAACAGAAATTAACTAGAAAATTAACTTCTGTATCTATTCATATGATACTCATCTACACTTACCACTTCAGCCTTCTTTACAAAGTAAGTCTGTATGTACAAATAAGGGTGGTGCATCCGATATTATAAAATAACCAAGGTGGAACTCGAATACAATGGGCTTTAAACACAGGGGCGTAAATTCTAATAGTGATAACCTATTCTTTTCTCAAATGGATCAAACATTAGTATAGAAACAATCAAATATGTCATTGACGGCCCTAACTCCTGTAATTGATTACTAATTGCCTTCTAGACATTAACGTATGTTGGCACAGATGGATTACAGAAATGTCAAGAAGATGATTAGGGAGATTTCACGAAATTGCCAGTGAACTAATTTAATTTAAATCCAAGTGAACGTGACTAGGTCATAAAGAAAGGATGAAATGTCGGCTTTCAAGCGTTGCAATAGAGGCCTTTTGACATGTTTTCAAGGGAAGTGAACAGAAAAGCGCTACAAGAACTCTTAAATAAACTCATTCTAAACACATTTCAATAAGCAAATCTTGCTGTAGATTGACGTAGATTTGTAAATAAAGTGCTATCGATTTCAAAGGTGATTAGGTATAGTGATTAAAAAATTCTTGCTTCTGAAGAAAACGAACCACTGTTTGATCACTCTCGAAATGTATACAGATTTGTTTCAAATCTATACTAATCTAAAATGTTTGTTTGTGAATTACAATGTCATTTTATTCACACAAGTTAAATTATTTGATTACAAGTTGTCACAGAGATCATTGTATGCTATTATTTTATATTCCTTTATTTGATTATGAAATTATAATACTATTTTACATTCCTTTCTTATTGCTTATTTTTTATTTGATGACATTTTTATATTAATACTTTTTTTCGCGTTTGTCAAGTTGTATATAAATTGAAAAAAAGCTTAATTTTAAAGTGTTTGTTTTTGACGTGAGTATTCTGTATAATTAGTCCTTTCCACTGTTAACGTCATCTTGCGTTACATTGCCGCGGTATTACTAATCCAAGCAATGTACCATTTCTCAATTCTACTTAAAATCAAATATAGTCATAAGTCCCTTGTTATCTCTTCCTTGAATTTCATATCACAGTTTCATTCTTATACTTTTCTTTAGGAATGCTTATCGAGCATAATTTTTTCTCTTTACATTTTATGCTTTTTTTATGATGATGCTGAGTACTGTACGTGGGTGTAGGGTGTTCTATTATCATTATAAATTTTAAAATGTTGTTATTTCCGTTGTTATAAAAACGTGTCATAGACTTTCATATGAATTCCATAATTTTTTATATGAGAAATTGCCTCAAATTAAACCTGCGAACTGGTAGCTGTCAAGGGTGCTTTGGATATTTTTCACTCCAAAGCAATTCAGAATTCCAGCGGCATCATAGTTTTTTCTGATTCTGCATCTGCGCTCCAGGCGACCCAGAAGGGCAACTGTCAACTCAATATTGTTGTGCTCATAAACACCATAACAGCTGCGCTAAAAGCCTACACCCTACACGGGATTCCAGTTCGCATCGATATTTCTGGGCAATGAGCAAGCCGATTACCTCGCCAAAGAAGCCCGAAATGGTACTCAACCTTCCAGCAGTTTAACCATTGCCTATGCAGATGGTATAGCCAACCGAAGACTCATCTCCCAAAAAATAAAGAACTGTTTTATTCCTGAGTCAAAATGCAGCAGAATTGTTTCCTCTGCCATAGCCAGAGTGAGAAGAAACCACTTTAAGGAAATGAAAATATCCCTAATGATCAGCGTGAATGAAAATACCCCATTGATGGTACATAAATTTCTTCATTGCACATCTTTGACTGTCTTACAATACTAGCTAGGCTTTTCAGAACTGATATTGCCCCCCCCCAAATTACAAGCTGCTATAATCCTCGTCGTCTACGTCGCTAGGGCTGTTTAGATGTTTTTAACCCTATTTAGCCTTTCTGCACTAACTTTTGCACAAGACAACAACATAGCCATTCAGAGACAAAAGTAAAAAATATAAATTTGGAAGTGCTAGTTTTCCCACATTAAAAATAGTGCGTATAAGATCCTGAATTGAATTTGATGTTTCGTCTGTAAATGCAGAGATTCATATTTACTTTTTCTTTCAGGTCATAGTCACACGGAAGAAACTAGACGTGGAAGAAGAAATTCGATCGTTGGGGAAAGGAGATTACTTTGGCGAAAGAGCTCTTTTAAAGTAAGTTTCCAATATTTTAGGATCTTCTCTATACTATATATTAAAAATTAATTTTTCGTGTTTGTAAATGATGCAGTGTTCCTAAACATACCCTCTTAGAATGATACTGAAATCTAAAAACCAGTTCGTAAAAAATGTATTATCCACTGCCGAAGATATCAGTATAATTAGGAATAAAGAGTGGTCAAAATAATGTGCATGTTTTAAAAATTTTGTATATGCAAATTAAGCAGCTATATCATATTTTAAGGGAAAATTAGCATATTAATTAAATGAACTTTTGTAAATTATCTATATGCAATAAACACGAAGTAGTCTTGAACTAGCTGGCGTTTTTAATATAAATGAGTTATCCCTTTCTCAGTCAATGACTGATAGTTTTACAATAAAATTTACATAACTTTGTTTATATATGGAATATACATTACATTTCTTTTATGACAGCTAAAAATTTGATGTTGACACCACATGACTCCCTAGTATTAGCCTATTAAATTATCCACATTTTTTCTGCATTTCATTTAAATTTATTTCCTCCAATTTCATTACCCTACTCCTTCAAATAATTCACTTCTCCCTTCGCGGCAAGGAAAAAATACATAAAAACTCAAAATATCTTCATGAAAAATGTGAAATACAGAAAAACATAAAGCATCAAGTATAGTTTAAAGAGTTTAATATTTTTTTACAATTAAAATTAGTGTTTCTACGAAAAAACAAGCAATTCGGCCAGCGGGCAAGAAGGCAGAATTTTCGGTGTACAAAACTGAAAGTTTACTTTTGATCTTTTGAAATTGACTTAATTCACTATTCTGTTACGAATTCCAAATGTAAACAAATGACAGCTTCGTTACGCTTAGTAGCGCTTAAGCAATTGTTATATTGTTGATAATTCTACTTATTAGATGCAGATTAACTAAAGGCATAATAACCTTAATTGGAACATAAGAACAGCATAGTTCAATCACTTTTTAAGCAAAAAATGCACAATTTACCAACATATAAGAATAAAAATACTGATCTCACTGAGCCGGGTAGCAGAGCGTGTATATATATATAGATAGATACTTTTGGTGCGGCCAGTTGCAAACAAAAAGAGAAATGCACAACTGCATATTATCACAGTCCCATATACAAAATTTCAGCTTTCTGGGGCTACTCGTTTTCGAGTTATGCGAGATACGTATATACGAACATATGTAGTTACGTGCAGACGTCACGATTAAAAACTCTTCTAAATCCCTTTTAAATTCATTTTACAATCCGTTTTGTTAAAAAGAGTTTTGTTAAAAAATCCTTTTTCTGTCCATTAAGTACAAATGTCACGTTAAAACGTCTTTCAGATTGATTCCAGAGAGGACATTTATGTTGAAATATGGTACCCGAAAATTTTCGCGATTACAATATGTCCTTTACTTCTAACAAAGATGTATAAAATGGAATAATTTGCCAATTTCTACACTTCGTTATGCGTAATGTAGCATAATAATTATCTCATACTGTAATATTACAATATCCACATCAGTCTATCTGATGGCATTCAAACGATACAAAAGCATACTTTCCCAAATATATTACGGCTTATTAAGAGTTACTGATGATGACATTATTACTGATTATTTATGATAACTAAATGGTAAAAAAAGGATTTCTTAAATTCTCGAGAATTTCTCTATTTGACTATTTCCAAAGTTTAAAACTGATGGGATCCTAATTATACGCAGTGGTTTAATTACAAGAGGCCAATACACTGATATTACTTGTACTAAAGTAATGTGCTGATTCCATACAAGTAAAAAAGCCTTATTCATCTATCTATTGAAAATATGTGGTATAGATCAAACTGAATAAGATATTTGATTATAATAAAGTGCAAGAGCATTATGTTCTTTAAGAAGGTTGCTTTTGTTCAGAATTTTCGTAAAAATTGTTTTGAATTTTCATTACATGTGGTTGTGTTTATAAAAACGCTCATACACAAAATACATTCTATAGCTGTGAATCAAACACCTGACATGAAAGTAGCAACATTCTGTGCTTTATAGGCTTGACCTATTTTAAGTCTCCTAACAAAATGATTTAGTATAAACATATCTCTCAAAATCATAGTATAGGTTTAAAAACATAATCATTAATGAATCTACAAAATGGTGATACTCTATAATAAAGCGGAGCAAGCTGTCATATCGAATGACACGATTTTGAATCCTGAAGAAGGTACAATGCTTGTAAATTACAGAATCTTTGCGGCAGGGGGTTATTAAAAATTCCATTGAACCGAAAGTCCCTGAATTGCTGTTGAGGAATGGTGATAGGGAAAGAAAGCCACGAGGCCTTTGGATTTCGTCTCATAGAATATTACTGATCAGAATTCTGATGTAGCTGGGCAAAATGTCTGCGCAATACCTATAAGGTGCCTAAGATAAAGCTAAGACGGTCCGAAGACAGATGCTCTCCTTCTCTGTAATATTATAAATTCTGAAGCTGATTTGAGTAGATATGTCAAGGTAAGGAGAATAGGAGACAATAACGAACAATAATAGTCTCTTGTGCCTTTTGCGGTCACAAGGAAAAATATTCGTAAACAACGTGACAGGTGAAGCAAACAAAATCACAGTTTTATTTTTAAAATAACATATCTGAAACCAGTATCTAGCTTCAGTAGCTCGTTCTGTAAGAATATCCTTACAGGGTAGAGCTCAAATCCCAGCCGGCTCCTAAGCTTTTACAATAATTTATGGTACTTACTAATTGGCCCACCAGCGGCCGAGCGGTAAAGTCGCTGAACACTGGTAGTTCGGTCCGAGGTTCGAATCCCGCGAACGGGCTGGCTGCATGGGAGTTTTCGTGGTTTTCCCCATGTGTAACGTGTATACGAGCCAGTTTCCCTTAGAAAGTCCTCCACGAAGGCATCCCTCCCCTTAGGCAGATAGCCCTCGAGGCTTTGCCATAATCACACGCACACACAGGTACTTACTAATTAACTTAACCATCTTAGTAGAAGTCGACAAATTTTCAGAATGTGCCAAATTCTGGCAACCATGTTTATAACCATTCTTCTGGCAACCATTTTCATAACAATCCTTCAGTCAAGCAACGCCGATATTTTCGTATTAGTTCTTTTTTTTTTTTTTTTTTTTTTTTTGTGTTGTTGTTTGTTGTTGTTGTTGTATTTCAAATTCCAACGGTTTTTATCTGAAATTTTACAAAGAGAGCAACGAGGAAATGCATTTTTCTCAATAGCTGCTGCAGTTGAGATTGTACGAATCAGAGTATCCCCATATCTACTTATTTTGAGGTACTTTTAATAGTACAGTTCTTCGGAATAAATGAAAGCAACGGGAAAAACTATTAAGAGTTCGCATTATTTTATTCATTTACGGTCAGATTTTTCTTGAATAAAATAAATGTTGAAAGATATCTTCGTTAACCGAAAATCGACTTCGAATTTCTTTGCAGACTGCAAAAAGTTCTTACAAAAAAGGTCTTCATAAAAATTTAAATCTCACGAAGTAATTTATACCTCCATTAAGTTTTCTTTATGAAGCTGAACTATTTTTGTTTTCTAGATATCTACAAACTAACTTCTATTTTAGAAGATTTTACTTGTATCTCAAAGCACAAAGAAACAAGTTATTTAAGTGTACATTAAGTCCTTTTTTTTAGTTGTTAGGGCCTTAAAATTAGCTTTTATTGTTCCTGAGGAAAGTTACATGGTTGTGTACTTTTCTAAATGATTCCAGCTCTAAAATCTATATGCCAATGTTTCAACCTAACACATGCCAACGTCAGCCTGGCAGTTGAATGGTATCACAGTTCAACTCCAGGAGCTAGGTAATCTAATGTTAACTTCGAGCAAATATTCGATCTCCGACATCTACGAAACACGTCATTACAATATTCTAAGCTTTCTAGTCCAATTCACAGAATTCTAATCATATCATCGAGCAATGTGCTGTTCAGTATTGATTTAATGTTCACAAAGCCTTCACTTTATTATTTTTAACAGGTACAACAGAGACTCAGAACTTAAAGACTGTATAATAAGTTCTGCTGTTAAAAATCCATTTGTGGAATTAATTTTGGCGAAATGTCAACTTAATGCAGATAATTTTAACTGTCCAATAATTCTTATATCAAAAGGTATTTTCAGACTATTAAGACGCTACATACCAAACAATTACTGCCTCTGCTTCGAGAAGCAGATTGTCAAGAGTTGTATTTAGACCAGAAAATGTTTAACTTCATACCTAACGCAAAATGTTGAAGAGTCACTTCGCAGTAGAACGAATCCAGAAAGATATCATCTAAGATTCTTAATCAGACAGTACACTGAACCTCAAACTCTAGAAAATTACAAGAAAAAAAAAAACCTAAAACAGTATTCTTTGGTAGCTTTTTATTTTAAATCATTTTGTTTTAGTTAACGGTGTTTTGTTAAACAGAAGAGTTTCTAATGCTCCAAAATAATAATGTGTACAAAGCTATCTTGGATAGCTGAAAAAAAGTGGGATGGCAAAGAATAAAATTCGAATTTAAAACTATGACGAATTATGTATAATAGATTTTTAAGCATAGCTTTTAACCTAGGGAATTTAGTGTTATTTACATGATTAGTACATATTCGCTACTTCTACTTTTTTTTTAAAATGCGTCAATGATATTGTTAAGAATTATTATAATCTCACATGTGCGCGTTTATATAATGTAAGCAGTCAGTACATCTTTAACTGAAAGATCCATGGTTTGAACCCCAAGGGGAGCAATACTGATTTTTCATGTTTCCTTCTCTAAAATTCCTAATAATCTCCATAGCTGAGCTCAGATTAAAATATGTTGGACGATAAGTCGCTACCATCCATATTTTTCGACTAGGTCTTGTAGCTCTTCCCTTTCGCCCTTTTACACGAGGTAGATTGTAAGGAATTATCCTATTTCCCTCTGTGGGCTTTTGAGTGCATGAAATTTGTACATTAAGTTAGCTTTGGAAGATTCATGTT